CTTGTGGGCGATCACTGTGTAAATGTTGTGTTTTGGTTGTTTTGCTCTTATTATTATATGTTATTGCATATGGTATTTTCTGGTCACCTTAATAGAGGGGTTCTGATGCGGCCCCCAAATGTCATTGGTATACTGCCATTGAAGTAAATCAAGGCTCTTTATTTACCAACGTTGATGTGTGGTTGGTTTCATCTTTATTTTGCTTGGATCTGCAGTTCCTCCACTGTCCTGCACCCACATTTTCTGGGGTCTGTGTGGTATGGATTTAGTTTATGGATTCACAGATTTTCCCCAGCTTATTACATTGTGATAATGTAGCTTTAATTCAATCCAAAACTTTTTTTTCTACCTTTTGGATTTATTGCAGAAAGGCTATAACCTTACAAAACAATAAAAGTGTAGAACAACATCTGTCATTTCACTTGATGCTGAAACCTGCTAGTGCTGACAGCAAGACTGCATATCACTGTACGAGAGGACCCCAAGGTGTCTGCCTGGGGCTTTGGGTCTGGTTCCTTATGCACGTCTCACAATGAACACCCGCAGGAACTCGATCCTATTATTGCTAGCCTTGACGTTAGGCATAGTACACATCATTAAAAGCTCATTCTGCCAAAGATAAACTATGACTATATATTCAAGAGAGAAAGGTTACACCGATGCTATAGTGTATTTTTAGTTATAAAATGTACAAGTAAGTAATTTTGGCTGTGCATGCCACATTTTACTAGCTTTTTGTGCCATAACACTATAATTCTATTTTATTTATGAACTTTAGGCTTTCTCCCCATTGGCTAGCTGTAGGTTGGAGGTCAGACAGTGCAATCAGTACTTTAATTAAAGTGGTTGTAAAGTGGTCATGAAATATGAACAAAGCATATCCCTCTATAGTGTGTACTTTTTATCCACTGTCTCATTCCTGTGCTATCACCATGACGAGTCTTCCTGACACCAAGAAAAAAATGGTGACAGGGTGAGGGGCACAGCCTGTGATTGACAGCATCAGCTCTGTTCATGTGTGTTGTGCAAAAGGGGGTGTGTCCCTTCCCTCCAATCAGCTATCAGAGTTCTCCACAATTAAATTAAATAAAAAAAAAAAAAAATAAAAAAAAAAAAAAACATAAAAAAAAAAAAAAAAAAAAAATGTCTCTCAAATCTCCAAATTTTCAAATCACTTTCTTTTCCACCTCCACATCACATCGTGTTATACTGTATATGATAATCCAACATGTTGTATTCCAACGTTCATGAACCTCAAAAAAGATATAAACTAGAAATAGTGTATTACCTTTTAACAACAAACACTAGTGCAAAAATTAATGTATCATGCACACTGCATATCATGTGTACAAAAACGTGCAAAAAAAAAAAAAAAAAAAAAGATAAATATATATATAATAAACAAAAAAAATATAGATATTCAAAAAATATTCCTTGTTATCACACGTGAACAAATAGTGAACACTCCAAAAAACAATGACCGTGTTCTCTACTTAATGTGACAGTGAGCTCATTCACTACAAAAATGAAATACACATAATAGTGAACTCCAAAATGTGCAACTCAAGTGAAAACACTCCAACTGGTGCAAAAAATGGGTAATTACCCTATGTAGGTAATGTCAAGCTTTTCCCACACAGTAGATGCTGACACCTCCAGGCTCCTTTATAATCCTGTTAGCGTGTTCCCATATTCCTCATAAGGCAAATCAGATATTTAGAGGCTTTTAAATACTCAGATATAACAATTTATTCATCAACTTACATTAAAAACTCCAACAAACTGTTTCCAACATCTGAGGTAATCCGATAAGGTCACATGACATCTGACGCACTTACGTTTTTTTACCGGAAGTACGATCGCGGCCATCTTTGTTTAGGGAACATGCTGTTTCTGCCAGGATAGGACCTTATTGGATTACCTCAGATGTTGGAAACAGTTTGTTGGAGTTTTTAATGTGGGGCTTCACCCGCCTGGCCTCGTCACTCATTCACTGTGCTCTATGAATGAGAAACTACAATTCCAGATAGCCTTAGCGGCTGTTGGCTTGAAGTTCTCAATGAACTACCATGGCACTGTGGAGCACCATGGTAGTTCATGGACTCTTCCTGTCAGTATATCTTCTTGCCCGTACATCCCGTACAAGCAGATATAATGACAAATCTGCAGGAGACCAGCATGGCTCCAGCAATCCGCTGAGCCTAGAAAGTCATTTCAAGGATCCCCAATGTTAAATAGGTTGAGAAAAGACTGCTCTAAGTCATTGGCTGTCGTTCCCTCTAGCGCATCTGACCATCCATCTACAAAAATACTTCCCAACTTTTTCAGATGAGAAAGGAGGACTCCTTGTGTAGGACTCACCAGAGCTATTATCCTAGTTGTGTGGACCAAAGAATTCCAAAGTATCCTCAATGCACTCCTGTAGAAACACACAGCCCTTACAATTGTGCCAAAGTTTATCATTGTCCTGGAGAGGATTCAACTTTTTTGGAATCTAATTTTTTTCTAAACTCTGAATACAATGTTGAAATATTTGTCTTACTTTATTACCGACAGCAGCACTCTCAACAAACGTTAATAGCACTGAGCGCTTCGGATCGTCACACCCCACCGAAAACAGTAACCTTTTCCATCCAGCGCAGCGGTGTGTCAGCACGCTCAGTGCAATAACAAAAAAAAAAAAATAAAAAAAAAAATTAGTCACACAAAAGAGACAATGAATAGCAAATGGAATTTTTAAAAAGAGCTCTTTTTTTGGCCTGCTCCACAGATACAAAGACAGATAGCAACATTCCCCCCTTGAAAAACTTTGCATAAAGCACAGGCAGAAAGTCATTTTCTATCTGCACCATTAAACACTGATAATGTTGAATCTACTTTAATAAAAACACTTTTTATGCATGAAAGATCTTCGCCCAGTACGAGCCTAAAAGAGTCTCTCCGCAGGCAGATGCCAGGGAGACAGAACAGCCTCAGAGGCACTCTAGGCTGACCTCTGAGAAGTGGTTATGCAGACCACATTTCCAGTTGTGCATGCTTGCTCAGCCACCAAGGAACAAGTGATGTGTGTCAGGTGTCCTTTCTCAGCTTTCATCTTATTTGCAGTGTATTTTCAGAGGAAAGACTTTCAATAAAGCCAGCACTAAAAAAAATTGAAATAACCTGTTTGCAGAGGGAGTTATTCAGAACTGCGCTACAATATGAAGCGATAGAAATGTAAATTTAGAGCACTGGAAAATGAAGTATCACTTCATCCTTCATTGCACTTTGTAAATCCTATTTCTCTCACAATATATCATGTCACCACTAGATATTCAGGCGTATTTGCAAATGGCAATTTGGAGACTCTCAATGTGAATTTAAAAGGGCAGAAACGTGCCTCTTCAGAACTGGAGTCACACCACTACACCTTCCAGAGGCAAGAAAAAAAAAAAACCTGTTGCTCTGCTCAAGCTCAAGAATTTAAAGTGATCCTTCGGTGACATTAGTGTTATCAATCTGCCATCTGCATGCAAACACAAAAAGATTGCAGTTTCAGAATTCTAGAGCTACCTGAGAACCATAAAGCCCATGTCACCCTATGACGATCTTTTGTGGAAAAAACATTATAGCAAATAAAAAAAAAAATAAGCATATACAATGGTTATACAAGCCAAACTGTAATCTCAAATCCAAAATTGACCCATCTTTCCCTAAAACTCACAAAGCATGCATCTCTGCATAAAAAAAAAAAAAAATGGCTATTTGTAGTGATTTTTAAATCACCAATATGGAGTTTTAGTTACATGTGTGGTTTTTTGGAAGCTAGGCCTCCCTCATTTATATGCTAAAAAAACTCGTGGGACTGGTGTATGAGCTTAAAGCACAGGAAGCTCACTACAGGAAATGAAATAAAAAAGCAGGGGTAGGGGGATGGAAAAAAGAGGACTTTGAACAAACCAAAAAAAAAGACAGAGGGGCACTAGGACAGTAGTTTTGAGACTTTGGAGGAAATAGCTGTTTTGTGCTGGACTCTGAGAAGCAAAGAGCCATGAGAAGATTCTATCACCAGGAAGAACCAAGTTAGGTAGCTGATTAGTCTACTTATGCCTATCACATACTGTACATAGTCCATGCTTATTTGTTTAAAAAAAAAGATAGATAGTTTGGGCATAAACATATTGTATGCATATTTTTGTTATACTTTGCATACTAAAATTTTTTTCTCCTGCAAAAAATGTAAAACTCCTTCTGTTTGGTAAAAAAATATAAAAATTACAGAGTTTTAAAAATGCTTCCTTGGCTTATACCGCAAAACAACCTAAAAAAAACACAAAAAAAAACAGCATACTGATGTAAAATCACCAAAACTTGTTTTTTCTTTGCAAAAAAAAAAAAAATTATTTATTTACCTTCTTTCTCTTCCACTATCTGGTTTTCCTGAAGGCAAAAAAAAATGACGTAGCCTCAGCTACATAGAACATCAACTTGGAAAAAATAAATCACCATTTAAAAAAAATCAGGGAAATCTAAACCCCCTCACAATAAAAAAAAAGTGCTGTCATACTGCGAATGCAAAGACGTGACAAATGCACCTCATTTTAAAAAAAAAATTTTAAAAAAATAAAATAAAAAAATACACCAAAAAAAAAAAAAAAAAAAAAAAAAAAAAAAAAAAAAAATGAATAAAAAAAAAATAGAAAAAAAAACCACCCCCCCCCAACCCCCATCCCCCCCCCCCCCCACCCAACCCCCCCCCGACACTCTCCCTCACCCCCTCACCCCACCCCCTCCACCCCCCCCCCCCCCCCACCCCCCCCCACCACCCCACCCTGCCAACACTGAACGCCCCAGCCCGTTTGCCCTTAAGTGCATGCAACTCCTATCTCATCTGACCCCCCACCACATTTGTTCCATGAACCCAGCCGGTACCAGGTGGCCATGGAATCCCCATGTACCTGGCAGCAGCGTGAGCAGACGACAGAGGCAACATGGCGCCAGGGTGGCGGGTGTAGGCAGCATTATTTCTAAAGCCATAACAAGTCCTCTTAAAAAAGCGGAAGCCGTCAGCCCGTGAGCAGACGATCAGAGACCTACATGGCAAGCATCCTGCCTGCCTTCTATCAGCAGTCATCGGACCGCAACACAAACCTACCAAATGTTGCAGATCAGCCGTTCGGTCCAAAAGCCAAGAGGCACATGGCGCCATAGTATGTCGGTTATTAGGCTCGCACAATGCCCTCAAGGCCATACAGCCACCCTATTCACAAAATGGAAACCCACCGCAGTGTGAGGAGAGACCTGAAAGTGGCACATGGCAGAGTGTGGCGATGGAGACAGCAGCAATGGGAGGCCGTACAGGGGACCCATGAACACACTCTGGACCTGGCAGCAGCATGAGGAGGCGGTACAGGGGGCCCATGGCAGATTACGGGCCTGGCAGCAGCATGAGAGTCCGTAACGGGTGGCCCATGGCAGAAACTGGACCTGGCAGCAGCAAGAGTAGGCCTGGTTACAAGGGTGGCCATGGCAGAGTGGCGTGAGCTTAGTCAGCAGCTTCCAATGAAGGCCATACAGAGGCCTATGTTTAAAAATCCCCCCAGCAGCAGCCAGTGGGAGGAGACGACTATCAAGAGTCCCAATGGCAGAGTGGCGGAGCAGAAAGCAGCTTCAATTGGGACCCATACACAGGCCCAGGTTAAAAAGTCCCCACAGCAGCAATAACGAGACTCTACTCCTCAGGTGCCAATGGCTAGATTACTGGACCAGGGCAATGTCAGCATGAGTGATTTGTGGTTGCAGATGGTTTGTTCAGCCATAGCTTGAGCGAGTATTACAGGTCCTGTGCAGCAATGGGAGGCCCATTTAAATCTGTACTGGCCTTAATGACGCAAATCAAACCCGCGACCAGAATGTTCCCGCTGATGGCAGCAGCTTCTGTCATACCCAAGAGTGCCGGTTGGCAGAGATGCGATGGAGTGAACCACGTTCATGCAATGGAGCCCAGTACAGAGGGACCCATGAAAAAGTCCCCCCTGGCAGCAGCATGAGCAGGCGACGGGTATCAGGCCCCCCCCCCCATGGCAGCAGGGTGGCGGTGCGGCAAGCAGCCTATTCGAATTGAAGAAGTCCATACACAGGCCTAGGTTAAAAAATCGTAAGTCCGTCAGCAGCAGTGAGCAGACGACAGAGACATCACATGCGCAAGATGTAGCGGTGGAGTGCAGCAGTATTCGGAAGCCAAACACAGGCCTCGGATTGCGGAAGCCTGCAGCAGCGTGAGGAGACGACGGTATGCAGGTGGCGCCAGGGTGGGCCTGGCAGCAGCAATGGAAGGCCCGTACTTGCCACCCTACTCACAAAAAATGGAACCCACCAACAGTGTAAGGAGACCTGAAAGTGGCACATGGCAGAGTCTGTGCGATGAAAGTCAGCAGCAATGGGAGGCCGTACAGGGACCCATGACACACTCTGGACCTGGCAGCAGCAAGAGGAGGCGGTATACAGGGGCCCATGGCAGAGTGGCGAAGCGGAAAGCAGCTTAAATTGAAGGCCATACAGAGGCCTATGTTAAAAAGTCCCCCCCAGCAGCAGTGTGGGGAGACGAGCTATCAAGAGTCCAATGGCCGAGTTGGCGGGCAGCAGAAGCAGCTTCAATTGTGAGGCCATACACAGGCCTAGGTTAAAAATGGCACCCCAGCAGCAGTCGTGGGGATGGACTAATCAGAGTCAATGGGAGGGCGTACTGGCGGTCCCAAGCAGCTTCAATTGAAGGCCATACACAGGCCTAGGTTAAAAAGATCCTGCCCAGCAGCAGTTAGTGGGGCCATGGAGCAGGGGACGAGCAGGTATGGGGGCAAGAGTCCAACACATGTGCAGAGTGGCGAGAACCGTGAAAGTCAGCGTTGTGAATGCAGATAGCCAATGCAGAAATACTAACGAAGTAATGCCGTGGGGTGCGAAGAATGCCATCATATACAGGTACTTGGTCAGTCCAGTAAGGAACGGAACAGACCTGCGAAATCCGGGGAGCTAACCCCATTGCCTGACCAACATTTTCAGCAAACTGGGAGTCTCCCAAGAGGCCCATGGCAGAGTGGCGGAGCGTAAGCAGCAGTCAGTTAATAGTCCTGACCAGAGGCCTATGGTTAAAAAAGTCCCCCCCAGCAGCTACATGGCCCCTGGTGACGACTATCAAGAGTCCAATGGCAGAGTGAGTTGCGGGTGCGGAAAAGCAGCTCAATTGAAGGCCATACACAGGCGGCCCTAGGTTTAAAAAGTCCCCCCCTCGGTTGGCAGTGTGTGGAGACTGTTCCAAGAGTCCAATGGCTGAGTTGTTTGAGGCCGATCCTGTCAGCGTTGTTGATTGCAGATGCAAAGTTAGCAGAGATTCTATGGGTGCTGCGTGGGTGCGAAGAATGATCATATTTCGTACTTCCATCCATAAGACGGAACAACCTGCGAACCGGGAGCTTTATTGCCCTGACCCCGCTGAGCAAGCTTCTGGGATACCCAAGAGGCCCATGGCAGAGTGGCGGAGCGTAAGCAGCTTCAATTAAAGGCCATGGTTGACAGAGGCCTATGTCCTAAAGTCCCCCCAGCAGCAGCGTGGGGAGACGAACGACTATCAAGAGTCCAATGGCAGAGTGGCGGAGCGGCAAGCACCAATTGAAGGCCATACATAGGTGGTTTTTATAAAGTCCCCCATTTGGGAGACCTATCTCCCTCTCAGCAGGTGTGAAAAAGGCCACCATTTTTGATTGCAGAACGCATGTAGCGAGGGTCCAACAATACCGTCGTAACTTCCATCCATAAGTGGACAGCCAAAAGTCATCCCTCTGTCTGATGGTTATTATTCGGCAAGGGGAGACTGTCGCTACGCAAGCAACCGAGCATGCTATGGGCATTTGTGCCAAGGAATGCGAGGGACTCCCTGCCTCCATCTCCACAGCATACTGCCAAAACGGTAGCGTCTGGGTCCTCTGTCTCCTCCTCCTCCTCTACCAGATGCTCCTGCTCCTCCACACTCCTGTCCGCTGAGTGGAAAAACCACCCATTTCACTCAATAATTCCTGAGCACCAATGTCCTCCTCTACCTCCTCCTCTTCTTCCTGTCCTGCCACCCCACAGGGGGGTCATGTGGCGTTGAGATCTGTGCGCCACAGTCTACCGCACCCTGACCAGCCATTGTTAACAGCATTTGTTTCCAGGACGTGCAACAGAGGAATGACCACGTCGTTCATCCCATAGTCCCTGCCGACTCACGAATAGCGTGGCCTCCTCAAAGGGCCTGAGCAAGCGGCAGGTGTCACGCATGAGCTGCCAATGGCTGACATCTAAGTTACACAGGGGGAGTACCTTTATCCGCTTGTAACATCAGGAAATCGTGATGGCCTTTCGCTGTTCGTAAAGGCGGTCTAATAACATAATGTAGGGTTGAATTCCACCCTTGTTGCAACGTCGCAGATCAGGCGATGCTGTGGAATTCCGTTCTGCCGCTGCAGCAGCTCAAGGAGGGTGTGCTTTGCGGTGTAGGAATGGCTGAAATGCATGCAAAGTTTACGTGACATTTTAAGGATGTCTTGCAGTGGGATGGTGGATTTTAGGAACCGCTTGACAACCAGATTGAACACGTGAGCCATGCATGGCGCATGGCACAACCTTCCTTGACGCAGAGCAGACACCATGTTCTTTCCGTTGTCGGTCAACATGGTTTTATCCGATTTTCAGTTTGCGCGGAGACAGCCATCTGTCGATTTCTCTGTTCATTACACTCAGAAGTTCCTCCCCTGTGTGACTACGTTCGCCAAGGCATACCAGGTGCAGCACAGCGTGACACCATTGCGCCCTGCACATGTGATATGCCGGTCGGTAATGGGACTTGCACGGGGGTGGGCGGCTGAGGACACGGCGGAAGAAGAGGTGGTAGAGGCGGACATCTTTGCCAAGGACCAAGGACGTGCAAACGTGGAGGCAAAAGCGGCGTGACCTGTCCAAGTTGCTGGTGCGGCTGTGCCGGCACCACGTTCACCCAGTGGGCCGTAAATGACATGTACTGTCCCTGACCGTAGTTACAGCTCCACACGTCGGCGCTGCCGTGCACTTTGGCAGAGACCGACATGCTCAAAGACTGGCCCACCCCATCTCTTCTACATGTGAATGCAGGGCTGGCACTGCCTTTTTTGGGCGAAGAAATGCCGGCTTGGCACTCTCCCACCGCGGCTCTCGGCACAAGCCATCATTTCTCGGAAAGGTGCTGAGTCCACCACTTGGAAAGGGAGGGACTGCAGCACCAGCAACTTGGACAGGAGGACGTTCAGCTTCTGCACCGTCGGGTGCGTGCTCGCAAACTGTTGTCTCTTGGAAACGGATTCCAAGAAAGACTGCTGACGGAATCCGTGAAGAGGAGTAGAGCAGGAGAAGGAGCATCTGAACGAGCGGAAGATGCCAACGAGCGACAACTCCCCTCAGCAGAGGTGTTTGGAGCCTTGACTGGCTGATAGAGGGCGATTGACGTCGGGTGACGGAGCAAGTAACGGAGCGGGTGATGGAGCGGGCGGGGCTGGGGCAGGCAGAAAACCGCCGTATCTTTATCACGGTTTTCCCAGGCCACCGAATGGCGACGCTGCATATGCTGACGCAACGCTGTAGTCCCCAACATGGCCCCCTGGGCCACGCTTGACTTTCTGGCCACATAGTCGACATAACGGCTACGTTTACTTCCTCGGGGCGGCTTGACGAAAAATTTGCCACACCCGCCGAGTAGGAAACTTTGCCCCCCACGCTACTCCTCACACTGGACTGCTGCTTTCTTCCTCCGTGCACACCGGCACCACTACTGGCCGTGGTGGTAGGCTGCAGTGGAGCTGGTGCTCTACTCCGTGGCCGTTTGGCTCCACTGACACTGCTGCGACCCTGCTGCCTCCTGGGCAACCCACCGACTGTTTTGCTCGCTGCTGGCAAGCTGGCACCCTCTTCTCCCTGATGATGCGGAAGCAATAGCCTGATGACGACGAGGCTGCCAAGTGCGATCAGCCTCATCATCATCAATTAGGGTCTCCGCGTCACTACTAGCCCCCTCGGCTGCGTGTGGGTCAGGAGACAGACCTGTCTCTAGACCGGCTACCGAGAGCCACTCTCCTCGCCAGTACTTCTTCGCCTGGCTGCTGAAGAGGCGGATGTCTCCCCCCGTCCTGACCGCCCTCTGTTAGCTCTTCCTCACTGTACAGTGGGGCTGAGCCCACAGCATGCGATACTTCGCTTGGTGAGGGAACACCAAAGGACAGGGGCAGGTCGAGGACACGTGATTTCAGTGGGCTTGCTCCCGGCCATGCCAACTAACGGTTGTGTCTGACGTACCCACCGACCGTTGGCTGTAGGTGTCAGAGGTGACCTGGGAAGAGGAAGACGACCGAGTCAACCAATCGATGACGGCAGGTGTTGTCGGTGGAGACACGACCGCTGGATGATGACACCGGGAGAGCACTGGCCTCTGGCTGCGACTAGTGCTGCCCTCGACCCCTTCCTCTCTGCCACGTCTGCTCGCTCCTGAAACATTGCCTCCTCTGCCACTCCTCTGCGTGTTGTCTGACATACTCTTTAATTCAATAAGCACCCCAAAAATAAAACCGGATTTAACTCTTTGAAACGTACAATAGTGGTGTGTGAAGCAGAAAGTCAGTTTATTTAGCACAATCGGTCAATTGCAGCAGCTTGCCGTTGGCTGTAAACTGTACGTTTATGTCACTGGAATGCACTAATCACCCAAAAAATATTACCGCCACCCCCCGGCGTGTAAATGGATTTAACTCTTTGAACGTACAATAGTGGTTGTGAAGCAGAAAGTCAGTTTATTGTACACAATCGGTCAATTGCAGCTTGCCGTTGGCTGGAAACTGTACGTTTAGGTCACTGGAATGCACTAATCACCCAAAAAATATTACCGCCACCCGGCGTGTAATGGATTTAACTCTTTGAACGTACAATAGTGGTTGTGAAGCAGAAAAGTCAGTTTATTTAGCACAATCGGTCAATTGCAGCTTGCCGTTGGCTGGAAACTGTACGTTTATGTCACTGGAATGCACTAATCACCCAAAAAATATTACCGCCAGCCGCGTGTGTAAATGGATTTAACTCTTTGAACGTACAATAGTGGTTGTGAAGCAGAAAGTCAGTTTATTAGCACAATCGGTCAATTGCAGCTTGCCGTTGGCTGGAAACTGTACGTTTATGTCACTGGAATGCACTAATCACCCAAAAAATATTACCACCACCCGGCGTGTAAATGGATTTAACTCTTTGAACGTACAATAGTGGTTGTGAAGCAGAAAGTCAGTTTATTTAGCACAATCGGGTCAATTGCAGCTTGCCGTTGGCTGGAAACTGTACGTTTATGTCACTGGAATGCACTAATCACCCAAAAAATATTACCGCCACCCGGCGTGTATATGGATTTAACTCTTTGAACGTACAATAGTGGTTGTGAAGCAGAAAGTCAGTTTTATTGTACACAATC